TTACTCTTTACAGAGGAATGTCCTTGGGATTTTCAGGATTTGCATTCCTTTCAGGAATGGAAGAAGTCATGACTTAGTGCTGCATTGTTCATCCCACATACTAAATCTCACTTGCTAAGTGTGCATGCAGCATCAAATTTTGTGTGTAGCACAGGATAGCTTAGAATAGCCAAGCATTTTTGTCTGGTTGCGTTGTTATTGCATATTCCCAGTTTGACAAAGGAAGCCAACGTTGTTGATTTATTGCTCATTTTGAACAATTTTGGATACCAGGATCTGTCGTTCAATCCAAGCTACCCAGTCTTTTTAAGTGCCAAAAATGTGCTTAATTCATTGTCACCCTCAAAGCAGTGTTGTCAGGGTTATGTAGCTGTTTGCACACTGGGAGCAGACTTGATAGACACTGGGCCTTGTGCCTTCACATTGTCTGGTTGGGGGTGAAAGTCCTTGTCCTTGAGCATATATTGATTTGCCCAGCACAGCACATCATGTGGTTTTGCTCTTCCTTCTGTAGAGACTTTGGGACTGGAGTTACATTCAGAGTGTTCAGACACTGTATCTGTTCAGTTCAGACATCTGGGGAACCAGCACTTCTGGTGCCCGCAGAGGAGTGGCCTTGGTTCAGAGCCTCCTGCTGCCTCTCTTGGCATTCAGCAGTCCTTGATGGCTGGTGACAAAGCCCACGTTGGCAGGAGAGGTGGCACTGAGGTCTGGCTGCAGGAAAAAAAAAAGAATGAGGGCCAATAGCAGGAAGAGTGAGAACTGCTCTGTAGACATTGGCACTGCTGTTGGATAGAGGCATCTCCCTCCCTGCTCTTTCTGATGGCCACTTTCACTGGTCAGTGTCATTAGCTGAGACTCACCTTCTGCTTCTCACTCTTTGGGTGTTATTTTTGGAGGATTAACCTGAGTCTTAGCGTGTTCCTAATGTAGTTTTGAAGTGCATTTACGTGTTGTCATTTCTTATACATGTTTGTCAAGTTTCCTGCATGTTTGCGATCCAGAGGGAAATACAACTATGAATGCTGAAAGCTGACTTTGCTGAAAGCACGTTTCTTTTATCAGCTGTGTTCTACTGATGCCAACATACCAAACTTAAGAAATTCACCCTATTTAATTACAGCAAAGTGGTGTCCCAGCAAACCTTTATGTACTAAGAGTAATTTGTGGTTTTATTGTGAATTATTTCCCTAGATATTTTAGCAGTCTGAATGAAGACACTGCTAAGTGACATTGACACGCTTTTCCTGTTTGGAGTTGTATTGTTCCTGTACAATACATTTACTCTAATCATTGTAGCCTGACAAAGCTCAGCACAAATGGAAGCTGTGAGACAGAAATTATTTAGGCTGCAAAAACTAATAGTCTTCTCACACAGGGATAAGTGGTGAAGTTCAGTGTTAGTCACTAAACCAGTGTAATGGAGAGATCATATATTAAGCCAGTTTGAAATATTTTATCGTTTTTTAACTCCTGTAGTGGTTTGAAATTACTGGAAGAATAAAGATTTGGGAAAACCTTCAAAGTGAAGCTAGGCAGTGAAAATTAATATTCCTTCTATTTCTGAATATTTGTGTATCTGGTGAAAAGATTTAGCCAAGGAAATCGAAATTTCTGTACAAGGTGTAAGACTGCAAAAAGAGCAGTCAAATGTGTGATTGTGCTTTGACAAGTTTTTATTAACTCAGGAGACGGTAAGAAGGTTTTACAACCAAATATTTCTGTAAGTGGGTTGAACACTAACGAGTCTGACAGGAATAATCTTTTGTCCCTAGCCCACAGCTTTTGGTAATGCTGTGTAGTGTATTCATCCAGTGCTGCAGACAGGAAGCCCGTCTGGGGTACCTTTGCCAGATGAATTGTTTGGCACTCCCCTCTGTGGGAATGTGCACGACTTTCCCACAGCTGCTGGTGTGAGGAGAAGCTGCCTGCAGATCCCCATAGCAGTGGGGCAAGTACGATTTTCTGAGGCTTCTGCAAGTGTGTGCCCTGTGGAAGTAAGGGAGGATTTTGTTGGTGGAGAAAGGCCGTGCCCTGGTGAGCTGTGTCCCTCCAGCAGCAGCTCCTGACAGGCTGGAGGGCAAAGTGGTGCTTCCCTGCTGTTCCCTTCTGGGCTGGCTCTCTGCCATCTGCCTGGTGTGAAAGGACACGACACAGGCGAGGCGATAGATGATCTGGCCTTTGAGACACGTTGCTCCTGCAAGCACCCAGGGGATGTTGTGAGCTGCCAGGAGGACTTCATGGATGAGTTGCTCCCTGTGGAGCTCACATTGCTGCTGCCTGGATTGGGAGGCAAGGCTGCTCCTCACGTCAAGTCTTCATGTCAGCTACTGCTCAGTTCCAGCAGCCAGAGCTGCCTAACTAAGATTTTTCCACTGTTGTTCCGTACTATGTCCATACAAAGCTATTTGGCAAAATATTCCATTTATACTTAATTTATGTGGTAGTCTTTGTGTGTGTTGAAAGACTTAATATTGTAAGATACAGTTTCAAATCAGAGTACTTACTGAGAGCATCCCAGAGTGCAGGCATGGTTGTATGTATATCAAGATATTCATTTACTCCTCTGAATTACTGATCTATCTATTAGCAGCCTATTTATGTTACAGTTTGGGGCACATGAGGAAGAATGTCTGTGGCTTGCCAAGTGAGTCAATTCAGTGTTTATAATTTCTTGGTGATTTGCCAGGCAAACATCTGTGCCAAGTTTAGTTTCTCATGTGATCAGGAAGTGATACAGCAGGATGCACTGAGGACTTCCCCGGCTCTCTCCCCTCAGCACCCTGACAGGAATGTGGCAATTGTCTTGTGCTTAAAGTAGAAATTTTCAAAGGCATGTAGAGCTGAATCTCAAATAGATATCAATGAAGTTCCCTTTGTAAATCTGACGTTTTCCCTTTTCATTTCCTTTCAGGCTCAAATAATCCCTTTTTAAAAGGAAATACCTGATCCCCGAGCATGTGACCTCCTATAAAAGTTTGCTTACAACATTTGCTCCTCTTGCTTCCCTGTGTGTGTATTAGTGTTGCTATTTAATTTCTCCTGGGATTATAGGTGTGGAATAAAGTACTGAACTTGCTTTCCTGGGCCAAATTGGCATCATAGCTTTGAAACAACCCACGAGTGCTTCTGCACCACTGGAAATGGACAGCATCAACTTAAATGCAATTGCTGTTTCAAGTTTTGGATTCCTCTTACATGGTTTGGAAAGGAGTAAGGGGGATCATTCAAGTTGACCTCATGTGGAGATCTCCTGTGAATTGAGTCTTCCTGAAAATGTGATATGAGGGGGTTGGATACTTATGTATATTGTTTTATTTTCAGACATTAAAAGTAATTGCAATGAGTTGGTTCTTTTACACTCGTGTGTGCATATGCCCTTGTTGGAACCAGCCACCAGAAAATATTTTCCCCTAGTAACTTAACTGTTGGGTTGTTTTGAACAATCACCTCTGTACTTGTTTCTTTTGTTTTAAAGAAGACTTTCATGGAACATAGATGTGGTTTAATTTCTGTATTTAATACATGCAGAAAATACTTTACATGTTATTTGCCATTGGAAATAGTAAAAGGATTTCATTCACTTCTCAAACTTGATTGGATGGTAAATTTTATAGGGTATTTCCCTAAACTTCTTGTTCCCTTTTATTGTGCATACACGTTTCTTATCTTCTTTCAGAAATTATATTTGGAATGGAACTGTGTGTTTGGAGTAGAAGTTCTTTAAAAGGAAGAACCTGGGCTTGACTTACCAAGTGAAATATTGCAGGATGTTTTTTGCAAGAAGATTTCTGCCCATCTGCTGTTTGGTATTTTATGACAAATGTCACCTGGGCTCTTCAGTCTCTTGAAGTGTGGAGATTTTTTGCTTCTTGAAACATGTCATCACTCTGTCAATAAATAGAGTTGATCTACTCTGCCATATTTGAACATTCCTGGACTTGGCACTGATTTTGCTAGAGGACAGAAGTAGTCTGCTGCTGCAGATACTCCATTTGATCCCATGTCAATCACCTATTTGAGTTTATAGGACTTTGTCTTCATTTTTACTCCTTTAGTACTTTCAGAGGTTCTTGATTTATCTCTACACTCTACCTGAGCTCTAAAATCTGAACAAATTTAACTTATCCAGGCTGCAGAGAAGCTTCTCCTGGTGCTTTTTTGCCCTGTTTGTCTGTGGAACTAGAGAAACATTTCAAAATCATGTGTTCCCCATAATGTGTCTTGCTGTGTTCCAGGTCAGCTGAATACTGAAATACAGAACTCTGGATTAGCCTGCTGTCCATTAGCATCAGGAGCATCCCCAGTTGCAGTAGCTGCCCATTAGAAATGTCTGCCAAAGAACTGAAACTGCTATTCTTCATTTGTCCTTCTATGGCTCCTTTCCTGATTCCCTCCTTTTTGTTTTTTTAGCTCCTTTATTAAAAAAAACCCACAAAAATCTTGATGAATTGTTGATGCTTTTCTCCTTTTATTCAATGCTAGGGTAAGTTAAAAAAAAAATTAAATTTTTCTGCTATTTGCTATTGACTGCATTTGTTTTAATGAGGGCAGAGAAGCTGCAGTCTCTGCCACCAGGGCTCAGGACAGAGCATGTCTGGAAATAAAAGATTCTGACCTAATGTGTGTCAGACTGAACCAAAAGCACAAGTGAAAGTGAAGCTACCGCTGCACATAAAGTTTATCACTGTTGTTGAGGAACAGTATCTGCCTGCTTTGGGCCTGCTGTGAACTTGGCCAGACAAAATAGGTGGAAGGGCAGAAGGTGAGGAATGTCTGCATCCTATCATGAATTGGAGGAAATGACTGTCTGCGCTCCGTGCGCTGGTGGGCTCTGCATCCTGCTGGCAGCCTGGTTAGTGCTGCAGGACACTGGAGTAGTGAATTTAGGTCTGATGTTTAAAATAGCTCCTAGGGACGAGAAGAAGCGCTTCAAAAATATGCTGTGGGTTTTCTGTTGGCTTCCTTAAACTAACTGGAAACTTTCTGCTTTCTTTCAGGAGCATATTTTACTCTGAAAACATTGCTGCTAAAAAACTCCAAACAGGAGGAGTAAATCCAGTCAGCTTGTCAGGTCACTGGCTCGGTGTAACAGTGCTTTCATGAGGTGACGTTGGGCCAAAGTCAACTTTCCTTTCTCCTCTGTAAACCTGCAGCCAAGCAATGGGCCAGAAAATCTCAGGGAGCATAAAGTCTGTGGATGTGAGGGAGCCCCCTTATAGACCCGTGAAACGAGAGCTGAGAGGCCCGGATTTCTGCAAGCCCGCGCGCCTGGACATGCTGTTGGATATGCCCCCTGCCAAGCTGGAGGTCCAGTACAAACACGCTTGGAATAACGAAGATCGCTCATTAAATATATTTGTAAAGGAAGACGATAAACTGACTTTTCACAGACACCCGGTGGCCCAGAGCACAGACTGCATCCGGGGCAAGGTGGGCTACACGCGGGGCCTGCACGTGTGGCAGATCCACTGGCCCACGCGGCAGCGGGGCACCCACGCCGTGGTGGGCGTCTCCACGGCCGACGCGCCGCTGCACTCGGTGGGGTACACGTCCTTGGTTGGTAGCAACAGTGAATCCTGGGGCTGGGATCTGGGGCGCAACAAACTCTACCACAACTGTAAAAACCAGCCCGGGGTCACGTACCCTGTGTTTTTGGAACCAGATGAGTCTTTTGTACTCCCAGACTCCTTACTGGTGGTTTTGGATATGGACGAAGGGACGCTTAGCTTCATGGTCGATGGACAGTATCTTGGAGTGGCCTTCAGAGGACTAAAAGGGAAAAAACTTTACCCCATAGTCAGTGCAGTTTGGGGGCACTGTGAAATTACCATGAGATACATCAACGGACTTGACCGTAAGTATTACAGCGTTTCTTCTTTATCCTTTCAGTTTTCCTCACATAGGGGTTTTTCTTTTTCCTTTTGCTCTGGACAGTGTGCTGAGGGGAGCAGATGGTTCAACTGTGAGGAGACTGCACCCCGTATTTACTGCCCACAATGAATATATCTCTGTTGTGTCTTGTAGTGATGGAATGGGTTGTGTCAAAATGCCTTTCTTTTTGACAGGCTGAGTGGCAAGAATTCTATGTCCAAAGAAACTGAACAGGCTGAGAAAAAGATACTGAGAAACTTCCTGGGTATATTTAACAGTAAAATTCTTGTTTACTGGAGGATATGTTTTAAATCTGTGGTTTCCAAATAGGATTTGCGGATCCTGTAAAAATTTCCTGTAGTAGTGGAAACTCTTACATGGTGCACATAAACATACTTGAACACTGGCCAGACAGCTTTCTGTAGTTGCCTTCTCAGGACCCTCAGAAGCAGATGTGAATCCCCAAGAATCTGGAAACTCAGGTCAAATACTGCTTTCAGCAGCTTTTCTGAAAGAGAGCTCTGTTCCTTAGTTCATTTCAGAAGGTGCTCTCAGGGTATTGTCCAGAAATCCAGGTTTTTGGATAAGCATGAGCTCTTTCTGGTCTAATAGGGTAATATCTAATGAAATGGTTACATAACAAGAAGCATGTTGCTGCTGTGACCTCCAAGCAGTGGCCCAGGAGAAGGTGAATTGCAGAGATGGGTCCTGTCCAGTAGTTGCAGAGATGGGTCCTATCCAGTTCTCTGTGTGCAAGAAAGTGTGGGCTCTGCCAGGTCTGTGCCCAATTCACACACAGGAACACGTACTGGCTCATAACTCCCTGTACTGAGCCAACCTGCAGGCAGAGCCAGCAGGCTACTGGCACACAAAAACAGGAGCCACATTTTCTCTTTGGATGCTCTTTAGTCCACCTGTTCCTTCATAGTAGGAAAATTCAAAGAATGTACTTTGAATAATGCTTTTGTTTCCTTTGGGGATGTAAATAGAGATGTTAAAAGCAGGGGCTTTGTTGCATGGCAGTGCTCAGTAACTGCTGATAGAGCTCAGGGAGCCTTGCTGGTGAGGGTCAGGTCCTGCAGGAAGGGGTTGCTATTCACTGTCAGCTTCTCAGCTGCTGGAATCTGGGGAATAAAAGAGTGGACAAGGTAGCAAGTGGAACTTGGTTCTTGTTTAAAACTATTGTCTGAGGTGTAGTAGGAGCTACAAATATCAATATATTTTTAAAAATAGATGACTGGGCAACATTTTCATGTTATTTTGGGCTGCTTGAAAGGAACTTGGCCTTTAAAGAAGGCAGAGTAAGTGTTCAATGCCTGCTTTTCAATTATTAATTTCTAGAAGAATTTACTATTCTTCTCTGTTCAGATAGAGTGGTCTGAGTTTTTTCCTGTCAAAAATTCTCTGTTCATTAACCTTGTATCTGTCATACCAAGTAGAAACAAAATGAAATCGTTTGACCCTGCTTCAGATTACCTTTTCTAAACATCTGTAATAAACCCTGGGGAAAAGACTTTTTATCCACAGAAGCCCTGCAGGTTTTACAGCTAGGTGCTAAACGGCAGCTTCCCAAGTGCTTTCATACAGGGGAATATCCAAAGATCTTAAGTATTTTGCAATTACTCAGTCATTGCAGAATGATGTGCTGACAGTCTTTTTCTTGGATTGTGGAGGAGAGAGACTTTTGCAAACTGAATATTTGTTTGCGAAAGCAGTTTTTATAATGCTGTGAATATCTGCCAAACTAAGCAAAGTACAGCTCAGCTTGGCCCATCACATCCGCACAAGGAATTGTTCTGCATTCCTTTTGTAGCTTTCACAGGGCCGCTCAAGGGAGCTCTAGAAAGATGAAAACACAGGAGGAGGATGTGAATGAGTTTGGTAGAAATTATAAAATAAAAGGGACTAAGTGGAAAGGGATAGCTGTGGTCTGTGAGATGGCAGAGAGAAAAAAATCCCATCTGATTTCTCGTGGGATAATTTTGCTGGAAGAGGCAGGATAGCTTCCTAAACTATCCCTGAGAAAGTCAAAGTCTCTATTTTTTTTTTTTTTTAACACATGAGCCCTTGGATAAAAGTAAACTTGTGAACTAAATTTTTATGTAGGCCTGAGTGTTAATCTGATCATGTGAAGAGGAAGTTTAAAGCCACTTTGCCGTGGGGCAGTTTGACATCCTGGAATCACATCATTTGTTATCACATATTCACTCATCCATTACTGTCCTGCAACAAAAACAGCATTCAAGAAACCAAATGAGCTTGTTTAGCTGGAGCTCCAAAGCAAACACTGTCTCTTTACCATTAAAGGTGTTTCTATCCAGCCAGCCTTGTGAAACAGTGCAAGTTTGGCTGTGGCACTCTTCATGTTTGTTTTCATTGCACTTCTAATTGCAGACTTTTATAATGGCTTGTTCTTGTGAAAATCAGAGCAGGTATTGAGGAGCAGTTGTGTTCACAAATTTGAATACATTTGAACATTTACGTATGTGGGGTGTTGTTCCTGTTTGATTCCTCTCTACCGATTAGCTCTTTTTTTTTTTTTTTCCCCTCTAATCTTCCCCCTCCCCCCCATTCCCTGGAAGTATTTCCTACTCCTGAGTGCAGCTTTTGGTAGATCTGGCCTTAGTAACTTAGCTGGTCTTGGAGCTGCTGTCAACCAGTGCCTCGTAACTTTCTATTCAGTGATTGATTGTTGCTGTTCAGAATGCAAACCACAGCTTGTGATGGTTGTTTGTGTGGTGTCCTACAGAGCAAAGGGAGACCTCCACGGCAGGGATTTCTAGTGTTTTCAATACTTGCTGCTTAAATTGAAGACCTCTGAATACTTTAAAGGCCTGTGTATTTCAGTTGCTTGGCAAAGAGTGAAAGGCTTGCAGGAATGGAAGAGTGAAAGGCTCAGGATGGGCTTTCATGCAGCTGCAGTGAACTTAAACATACGTCACAGATGATGCAGGCTTCCAAGTGTGTTAATTACTGCAGAGATGGCAGATTCACAGGAGGATAAGGCTGCAGATCAAAGATCAAGGACCTGTGTGCCCTCTGGACTCTGGATATTGCTCCTAGAATAATGCTGTAATTAAAATCAGTTGTACTTCTTCCAGCTTTCCAGCTGCATCTGATACCCACAGTATTGTGCTTCAGAAACTACTTTCAACATCACATAATGATGATCTGTGACTTTTCACAAGACTTTTTTTTTCTTTTTTTTTCCTTTTTTTTTTTTCTTTTTTTTTAGTTGCACATGTTCTCAGGGTTTGGAAGGAAAGGGACAGGACAGAGTTCTTCCCAGCACAAACTCCTTTGATCAGTTGCTATCAGTACTTACCACACTGATGTTTGCTCCATTCCTGAGCTGGACAGAAGACAGAATTTTTACATCAGCCTTCTGACTTACTGCCTATTGCAATAATTAGAAACTTCAAATAACACAAAAGCAGTAAATGTTACTTTTCAGATCAGGGTATGTGCTTGTTTACAAAAAGCTGGTCTATTTATATCTGGTGTCTGATGAGGAGTCCTGAAGACTATTTATAGACTGGAACAGAGAAATAGCAAAACACTTCTGTGTAAATGTGCATTGCAGATCATGGCTGATCCATGAGTGTTTAAACAAAGCATTGGGAGGACAATCAATATAGCCATGCTGTGATGGAAAACTTGGTCATTGAGTAGGTAAACTGAAGTCATTGCAGTTCTTGCACTAAACCTCCCATAGTCCTCATTCAATTCTGAAAATAATGGTTAAGCTCAGGAAGCTGGAAGCATTTGTCTAAGAAGAGAAGATTTCACTTACAAGTATAATTTATGGAAAACATTTGTCTGTACCCATTTGTATTTTATCATTCTTGCAGGATCTGGCCCTCACCAGCAAGGTTCCCTGAGCTCTATCAGCAGTTACTGAGCACTGCCATGCAACAGAGCCCTGATTTTAACATCTCTATTTCCATCCCCAAAGGAAACAAAAGTATTATTCAAAGTACATTCTTTGAATTTTCCTACTATGAAGGAACAGGTGGACTAAAGATCATCCAAAGAGAAAATGTGGCTCCTGTTTTTGTGTAGCCTGCTGGCTCTGCCTGCAGGTTGGCTCAGTTCAGGGAGTTATGAGCCAGTACATGCTCCTGTGTGGAGGCCCAGGAGCAGTAGATCATATTCCTGGATCCTGGGTTGTCTGGGGAAAAGGGTGATGATCCCTTTGGCTCCTGCCTTGCCTGCTGGGGCACTTGCAGCCCACCAGGGAGGAGCTGGGGGTTGTTCCGTATGGAAAGTGGGAGGGAGGGAGGGAGGAGGAGGTTCAGTGCACATTCTCTCTGCTTGCTGCTACAACTACACCAGTGGTCTGTGGGGTCTGTTCACACCTTTTGCTCTCTGCTGTGCAAAGATCACAGTGACCCCTGAAACTCCTTCAGACCTGAGGCTTGAATTAAGGGTGATGCTTCTAAGCTAAAAGACCAATTTTGGAGCTGTGCACAACTTCTTTCCTCTTTCCTGCTATTCTCAGTTTATTTTAATTCACCTTGGTCTGTGTCTAACATACCACAATTACTGGTTATAAACATACATGCTTCTCCTTGGAGGCCTTTTTGCCATAAAGAAATCTAAGTCAAAACTGCGACAGTATTAACTGCCAGGAGAAATCCATAATCTCTCATCAGACTCTGGGTTTTCCCCCCTAATGAGTTTCAATTAAAAATTTTTAATGGATTTGGTTTTTTGTTTATCTAAACTTGTTTTATGCTATTTATATAATATGTGACTCTGGAGGCTGCAATGGAAATAAAGTCCTCTGAAAATCCCGTATTGCTAAACCTTAGAAAGGATTTTCCCTGCAGACATGCAGACAGAGGATGAAGCAGCAGCAATTAAGCAGCCAATGCTGTGAAGAAGCAATCTTTAACTTTTGAGATAATTTAACAGGAAACAGCATTTTCAGTGCCTGCTTCAGGAGTCAGATAGCTATTGTTAGAGGGTTTTTGTCTTCTA